GATCACAGGCACGCGCCACCATGCCCAGCTAATTTTTTGTATTTTTAGTAGGGACGGGGTTTCACCTTGTTGACCAGGATGGTCTCGATCTCTTGACCTCGTGATCCACCCGCCTCGGCCTCCCAAAGTGCTGGGATTACAGGCATGAGCCACCGCGCCCGGCCTTAGTGGTTTTAATTATATATGTATTGATAATATTTTTTAGCCATAATTCACTTTTTGCAGAAAAAACTAGAAAGCGGACAATTGTCAAGTGTCTGTCATATATCAGCATTCTGTATGAGCACATTAGCAAATTTTGTGAATATACCATCCCACATTTCTTACAGGTATAGGTTTTTTTAATAATACAATTTTTCATGTTTATTAAGCAGCCCAAATATATTTTAGCCTCTCTATTCCATATGAAAATAAGAACCCAAAAGTATATAAACATAAACTTAGATTTAGTAGTATTTTAATAGTTTATCTTGCTTAGAAATGATCTAGTTAATTAATATCTATTTCTTTTTTTTTTTTTTTTTTTTTTTGAGACAGAGTTTCGCTCTTGTTACCCAGGCTGGAGTGCAATGGCGCCATCTTGGCTCACCGCAACCTCCGCCTCCTGGGTTCAGGCAATTCTCCTGCCTTAGCCTCCTGAGTAGCTGGGATTACAGGCACGCGCCACCATGCCCAGCTAATTTTTTGTTTTTTTAGTAGAGACTGGGTTTCACCATGTTGACCGGGATGGTCTCGATCTCTCGACCTCATGATCCACCCGCCTCGGCCTCCCAAAGTGCTGGGATTACAGGCTTGAGCCACCGTGCCCGGCCCAATATCTATTTCTTAATTTAACTTAGGATAACTCTAAGGTTTCACATTACCAAATATTTGGAAACTGTTTCTAGGTTATAATATTTATAACATTAAACAAGGCTAAAAGTCACTTCATTATTTTTCTGTTAAACTAATTTTATAGCATGTGCATGTTAGGCAAGCATCAAAAACATCAAAAACCTAAAAATATTAAATATATGGGCTTTTGTTCAACTGCTGTGCTTAGTATACATTAAGTGATGGATACTGCACTTTTACTTGTTCATTCTTAGGTTAAATTTATAATTTTTATAACTTTAAGCATTTAGTAGAGATAACATATTAGAAAACCCAGGTAGAATAAATATGTGTGCTGATCTTATCCTTAATGCTGATAATTCAGAATTTATACCCTTTTTTATTAAACCAACAATATTAAACTAATGTTATTTCCCAAAGATTTACCCAAGTCATATGAAATTGAAAATGATTTGAGTTAGTTCCTATATTTCTTGGAGTTTTAGTAATATTTAATTTATTTGTCTCATTTATCTTGTAAGCCAATTTGAATATAACTCCTCCTTTAAGGAATTTTATAAATTAATTTGTAATACCATCTGGAAGTAGGGAAATATCATTTACATAATATGCGTGCATACATACAAGCATATATAAACATACAGATGCAAACAGAGATCTTACATCTTTTATTCTAAAATTTTCGCCATGAATCAGGTAACACAGTAATACAAAACTCACTGGTTTATCTCCACTTATATTTTTATCTGAATTGTGTTTCTGACAAAAATGAGACAAATTGAGGTTACCTACTCAATAAAAGCTAAAGATTAGGGAAAAGAGCTAATGCATGCTGGACTTAATACCTAGGTGATGGGTGGATAGGTGCAGCAAATCACTATGGCATATGTTTACCTATTTAACAAACCTGCACATCTTGCACATGTACCCCAGAACTTAAAGAAAAAAAGAAAGTCAAGAAAAAGGAATATGATAAAGTATCAGTTATAATATATGTAACTTTTTTTTGGTTGTTCATTTTTAATATATTTTTTTAATTGCATTTTAGGTTTTGAGGTACATGTGAAGAACATGCAAGATTGTTGCATAGGTACACACATGGCAGTGTGTTGTGCTGCTTTCCTCCCCATCACCTATATCTGGCATTTCTCCCCATGCTATCTCTCCCCACCTCCTTCTTTAAGAAAGAACATGTTAAAAGGAATAAATAAAATGTAAATGACTGAAGAAATAAAAAGAGCTACAGCTTTTTATGAAGTTTTGTGGAGACCTCCAAGGACCTCCAAGATTTTCTTTTGTCCTGATATGTAATCCTATAAAGGCTGAAGACTAAATTTGAGATCAGAGACTGAGGGCACATCAAGTAAATGTCTAGATGATTCCAGAGTCAATCTGAGTAGATGAAATATCCAGTCTGGGCTGGGCACGGTGTCTCACTCCTGTAATCCCAGCACTTTGGGAGGCCAAAGTGGGCAGATCATGAGGTCAGGAGATCAAGACCATCCTGAGCAACATGGTGAAAACGCATCTCAATACAAAAATTAGCTGGGTGTGGTGGTACGTGTCTATAATCCCAGCTACTCAGGAGGCTGAGGCAGGAAAATCACTTGAATCAGGGAGTCGAAGGTTGCAGTGAGTTGAGATTGCACCACTGCACTCCAGCCTGGCAACAGACCATGACTCTGTCTCAAAAAAACAAAACAAAATCCAGTTTGTTTCCAAGTAGCCCTTTTTTTTTTTTTTTTTTTTTCCAGCATCAGATAGTGGCTTTCAGGTATCTCTGAGTCCCTTGAGAGGCCCTGATGTGAGTGGGAGGATTAAAGTTCAAATGCCTGAGGGAGTTGAGCTGGAGTGAGAAGGTAAATGTCTGTCAGGGGTGGACAGAGAAGTGGAGCAGGCAGAGGTTTGAGGGGAACATATCAAGGAATTCAAGGGAGCAGAAGGGAAGATCGAAGGTGGTAAGAGGAAGAAGCAATGGGAAGGAAGAGACCATAGAGGAGCCAGTTTGAGGAGATCTCAAGTTCCTCAAAGAGGCCATTGGAGTTCCAAATAATTCTCCACAAAATCATGCCTATAAGAAAAGAAGTAGACAGAGCTGGTAGGAGCAGGGTTTCAAGAGGAGGGGTTTTCAGACACCTGAGCAGTTTCTATGGGAGAAGCAGGATCACACAGAGAGAAAAGAGAGAGCTCACAGAAAGCCAGGAAAAATAAAATCTCCAGCCCAGTAATCATAGGGTGGATCCTTACTTGAAACAAAAGAGTCAGGAAAATACTCCGGGCCAGGGAACCAGGAAGTAACTAAATAAGGGTGGGGGGCAGGAAGAATTTTCTAGCCAGGACCAGGCCCAGGAATCAGAGAATATATATAAGTTCACTCCAAACAAAGAGCCAGGAAGAAAGACTTCCAGCCCAACAAGTGCCTTTTATTTTTGTTTTTTTTTTGAGACAGGGTCTCATTCTGTCACACAGGCTGGAGTGCAGGAGGCTCAGGTGCCTTTCATAAAAAGCTGCAGACTAACCCAACTTCAGAGAGTATATTCAGAATCATAAGAATCAAAATGCATCCTCACAATGCTTCAACAGACTGCCATCTGAAGCACTGGCTCAAGAAGTGGACTTACCAATGGATTCCTGATCAGTCAGGCAAGAGTGAAGACAAAGATTTCAAAGGTGCATACTTCAGGTTCTGGATGAGAGTTCCAGGAGTCCAATGGTGAATCTGATCTTATCTGAGTCACAGCCAACATAACTGTTAAAAAATTATTCATGACACTTGTTAAAGATGGTAAGGAAGACTCTCCATGGAGGACTATCAGAGTAGCTACAGTGACCACTGCAATGGGGTCAGTCTTGCAGTAGGGGAGAAAAATTGGCATTGACAACCACTCCAACAAGAATAGGTAAAAGCCAGGGTGGAGACTCAGTGAATGGAAAATTACCAAAAGGAAACATTAGGGCTATGGGGGATTCTTGCTAGACTGACCCAACAGGGAGGCAAGATATCTAGTGTGGAGCATGAGGAATTTGATCAGCTATTCAGGGAGGTCAGATACCAGTGGTGGGGAATTTTCAATAAATTAACTTAGTAGGATTTGTGCTCAAACTGGATTCTACAAGCCGAAGTTTAGGGCTAGTCGAGCAGAGAGGGCCTGGAGGAGCCTGATTAAGTTTGGTCAAAGGAGAGAGTCTTTGTCACTTCCTTTTACTTTTGATGTTTGTCATCTAGTGTAAACAGGTAAGAAATTACAAATGACTCCAAATGCTGTCACAGAGAATAAGAGACGCCATAAAAGCATAGGAAGGTCTATTTGCTGTGGGTAGAGGGGGTGTCAGGAAATTGCCCCTGAAAGTCAATGATGATTGAACTGAAATCTGAAGAGGCACTCCAGGCTGCACGAAGAACCTGGAGGGGGGGCGGAAAACTCTTAGACAGGAAGGATCATGAACGCTCCCACAATTAGAAGATCGAAATAGAAAGCTGGAGGTAGAGTGGGAAGAATATATGGGAAGAAGGCTCCAGATAGATGCCTGAGTAAACTGAGCAGATTATAACAGCCACTTTTCAGCCTCTTCTTAATTTGGGTCTTTATGTCAAGAACAGTGGGCAGCCATTGAAGGGTTTGAAGGAGAGATGAAGATCTGATGGGTGTTTTGAGGGTGGATGAGAGATTGGACAGCAGCAGGAGGAGATATGGGGGCCCCAGTTCAATGGCTGTCAGTGAAGTTTCCATAACATAAAATGGTGATTTGAAACAGGGTGGTGGCAGAAGAGATCAAATGAGGCTCTTGAAATATTTAGGTTACTTCTGAGGGCTGGATTAAAGAATGGGCAACATGAGGGCATGCAGATTCCTAGCTGATATAAATGGCTCTATGTTGGGGTCATTAGCAAGATAGGGAGAGGAGAGGAGGACCAAGATGTGTGAGGAGGAGGGAGAGTGTGGATGGGCACAGGAGGGAGGAGCAGAAGGTCATCACCTTCTGGCTGAGGCCTCTCATCTTTACAAAGTTGTGGCTTTCAAAGTTTTTACAGTGACCCATAGCTTTCCTGTAGGCAGATAGGGTGTACAAAAGTTTCTAAAACAATGCTTCCCATTTCCATGTGCAATCAAAAGATATTTCCTACCATATTTTCCTTTAAAAGAGAAAAATAAAATGATGTAAGCATGGGCCACGAGATGGTAACTTAAGTGGTAAAGGCAGCGGTAACGGTGAAAGCAACGGTAGTTGTAACGGTAGTGCTAAAGGTCGCGGTAACGGCAGAAGCAATGGTAGCAGCAACGGTAGTGGTGACGTCAGCGGTAACAGCAACGGTGATGGCAAAGGCAACGGTGGTTGTAACGGTAGAGCTAACGGTAGCGGTGATGGCAACTGTAACGGCAAGGGCAACGGTAACGGTAGCGGTGATGTCAGCGGTAACAGCAATGGTGGTTGTAACGGTAGAGCAACGGTAGCGGTGATGGCAACTGTAACGGCAAGGGCAACGGCAACAGTAGCGGTGACGGAGGTGGCGACCATTGTGGCGCCATACGCAACGTCCTTTGTGACACCAGGGGCTTGGTGCTACAACTAGGGCGTTGGGACCTGTTGCCCAAACAGACTGCGCTGCAGTTTCAGACTGGAGGGAGTCTGGCGGCGGCTCTGCTGCCCAACTCTCTCGAGGCCCTTGGGTACACGAGGATGTCAGCTTCAGCCTCCACTTCGTCTCAACTGCCCATCAAGGGGATCCTGAAAAACAAAAGCTCATCGGGTTCCTCAGTGTCGGCTGCCGGTCAGCAATCTGGAGAGAATATTCAAGATGCAAACAGGAAGAAATCCCAGAAATGGGATGAATCAAGCATCCTTGCGACATACCGCGCAACCTACAAAGATTACGGTTTAATGAAGGAAGATGAGCCTAGCACTTCCTGCAAGAGTGCGCAAGACGATGAGGACAATTCAGTGTATGATGTTGAAGGAGAGGAAGCTGTGACCCTCGACATGCTACTTAAAAAACTAGCTGCCACTGATACTTCGGACCAGAGCTGTGAAGTGGAAGAACCAGAGTGTAGCGACGCATACGTGAAAAAAATCCTCCTCCGCAAGCAGGAGAAACAGCGGCAGTTTGAAATGAAAAGAAAGCTTCATTGCAATGAAGAATTGAACATCAAATTAGCTAGACAGTTAATGTCCAAAGACCTCCAAAGTGAAGATGATGACAGTGAAGAAAAGCTGCAAGCCACTAACGAAGATAAGATTGCTGCAGAAAAATCAGAGGAAGCTCCTCTAAGCGATTAACTTCAAGTTCAGTCATGCGACACATAGAAGATATCTGCTTCACCCTTGCAATTGTTTGTGAAATACAAACCTTCTTCATGTAATACACTGCTTCTTGTTTTCTATAGCGCATGCGTGGAGTACTAAATTACTTAAATTGTAATGCAGAATTGAATGGTAATCTTAGAGAGTAACAGATTAAGTGGGAAATGTCTGCTTGATATTGTTGGTAATTATTTAACACAATACAGATCCTGATATTGCTTTTAATTTTATACAACCATGTTACTTTTTATAAAACCATGGGTTAATGTATATATTCTATAGCTTTTTAATATGTTAAAGACTTGAACGGGGCCTAATTTATATTCACTTCTAGTTGTACTAGCCACTGTAGAAAAGGTTTTGTTAAAAATTCAAAACATAATTGGTAAAGTAGATTATCCAGGCTGATAAATATTTAGGCTAAAAAACACTTCAGGGTGATTTACTGTTTAATTGAAAGGGAATATATTATGAGTTATTGCTGAATTTCCTGAGACTACCTTTACAATTTCTCTTAATTTTCTTTGTGCTTACAAGGAAATGAATGAACTTTTTTCTCATCTAAAGTAGCCATTTTTCATGCATTATCAGGTTAAAATTGCAACAATGTCTGTTTTGTTTTCTGTACAGAGGATGGGCAGATTTAGTATCAGTAGTTTTTTTCAAATCCTAAATTAGGAGTCCCTTTTCATACCTATCTTAACCTCCATCCTTTGTTTCCCAGTCCTCCCAGCCCATGCACAGCCATTCCCTTACCTTTATGGACTATCGTAGATAGTCAGGACATTAGAAACCCATTTTTCTCTCAGATATTCTGTGTTGCAACAGTGTCATTTCCATTTTGAGCATCACAGTCTTCTCAGCCTAACAACATGTGGGGTTACATAACTCTTTCAGTGCAAAAAAGTGATCTCCATATGCCTGCGGAGTGAACACCTGCCTGCAGATGCGTTCTTTAAGTTCCTTCTGTCTGAAGGTGAAGACAGAAAGTTCAGCCCTCGTGACCTGTTCTTGCTCAGAAGAGAAGGAAACCCAACTCACATTTGGCTAGACCTGGGGGAGGAATGGGATTGCAGAAATTATAAGGGAAAACCATAGATGACTCACAAGTTGGGGGATAAGCAGATGAAGACATTGGAGGGAATAACATATGGTTCTACATGGGGGAGGGAAGTGTGTCAAAGACTCATCTTCCACAAGATGATACACTATTGTTTACCTAACACAATACCACATTTAGGTTACTAGGGAGAAATGTGGGCACCGAGATGAGGGATGAAACCTCCAAAACCCAAATTTGGGGAGGAATACAACCAATAATTTTTAATAGGAAACTGGATCAAATTAGCACCACCATTTTATAATTGAAAAATTCAGCCCATAAGAGACAGGATGCAACATTCAATACACATTGAAGCGGAAGCAGAAGAGACTGAGCTCTCAGCCAGTCCACATTGGGTGGGCTCTAGCAACCGAAGCTGCATGTGTAGAGGCCTTTGGAAGATTTAAGAATGCAGACTGCAAAAAATCTGGGGAAAACTGAAAATTGTCTGTGTGTGTCTGTGTTTGTGTGTCTCTGTGTGGGCACGGGGGAAAGCTGCCTTGAGCATTCTTCTCTACCAGTATAAACACAGTTCTCTAATACAAGGTTATACATTATTAGCTCCTGAAAAATAATAAGAATTGTTTTTATCATTGTGTAGGCAGAGCATTTTTTACATCACTGAACTTGCCTATGCATGCTGGGTACAAAATACCTTATTCTTTCACAAAGCCTTCTTTTTCTTCACCTTTTATTCCTGTTTTAAAGCAGGCTCTTTGAAAGGTGCATATGAACCCGGTTTCCATAGCAATTGCAAGCATCAGTGATAACCCAGAGCTTCTAAGTTATAATATACAGGCTACCCTATTAATGAGTTTCAAACTGCATTTCCATGAGACAACGGCTCAGCCACTGATAGATAAGGTCAGACCCCAACTTCAAACTTTAAATTAAATCAGGATAGATCAAAATGCAACAGAGGGAGGAATGTCCTTTTGGGAAAGTATGCTGTTAAAAATATGTTCTTTGTGGAGGCAAAACAGTTGCTTTTGTGGTTTGTAAAGCCCAGATGAAAAAAAATATGAAATAGATACAGCTTCTTCTGGGTTACTAATGGCATGTTGTCATTTTCTCATGCTATTTGTGAGCGAGTTTTTATCATGGTAGCTCAGGCTCTAAGAAAGCACACAATCCTTTGCTTTAGGAGGAACAGACATATGGCTTATTTTTTGCCAGATCTCACATAACATTATGTTATAATTTATTAAATTATTTATTTATACACTAGGTGCCAAGACTCTGTGCCTACCTTGAAGGAGATACCAGTTTATGTATGGGAGGGCTCAGCCATGTCACCAGGCCATTTTTATACTGTACAAGAGTGCTTCACAGAGGTCCTCAAAGGACATCACCCAAGGTCTTGAAAGGCCTTCACTTAAAGTGAATATTGAGGATAAGACCTGGAAGAGACATGAAATTTAACCAGTGACAAGAAGTAGACTCATGGAGGTTAGTATTCCAGATGTAGGTGAGGAGATGTAGTTCCCTTGGGGAGCTACAAGGTATTCTGTATGGGAGACTGTATGGGACTAAAGAGGTAAGACAGGCTATGAAAGGATTCAGTTGCCACACAAAGGCAACAGGAGCCACTAACACTTTTAAACAGGATAGTGACATGATGAGACTCATGTTTTCGAAAGACCACTATCACTGTGGGGTAGGGCCTGAAACAAAACAGCAGAGAGAGACCAAGCTGGAGAGAGGAGCACAAATGTGTGATATGGGTAACAGGAAGCTTATGGCTATAATATTTGAGTGCTGAACCTCTTACCTTGCACTCACGGCAGAGTCACACCCTGCTTTTTACCAGTGCCATGCAGTGTGGCCCCCAGACTGGCTGCATAAGCATCACCAAGAAGCTGGTTAAAAATCCTAATTCTCAGGCTTCATCCCAGACCTACTGATTCAGCATCTCTAGGGCTAAGGTCTAGCGTTCTGTGCTTCAACAAGCTTCCCACAGGATTTTTCTGGACGTTCAAATTTGAGAACCACTGTTTACAACATAACTTTGTAATTAGCTGAGCTCATCTCTGTGGGACAGATCTCACTTGTGTGTGTGTGTGTGTGTGTGCGTGATTTGTTAACAATTTTACAAAAATACATTACGTTGAATGTCAGAACTGCACATAGGTTTGTTGAGAAACTTTCACATGTATGCTGCCAGATTGAAATCACAGTATACTCAGTCTGTTCCCATCCCTCCAAAGCAACCCTTTCTTTAGTCCCTCCTTCATACCTTGCTTATAGACTATGCTCCTCTTGGCACTGGTATAGTTGGCATTTCCACTGCCATCCACGACGTCCTAGGACTTCTTCATATCTTCAGCTTTACTTGGGCTATTCCTTTTGTCCAGAATATACGTCTTGCTATTTTTACTGCACATCTCAACCAGTCTTCCACATCCAGTATAATTCATTGCGCAAACTTCTAAGTCAGAATAGTGGGCGTCTACCTTGGGGGAGGCAGAAAAGTATGGTAAATGACAGTGAAGGATTAGGAGTCAAAAAGATCTGGATTTGAATTCAGGTTCTGCCATATATTAGCTGAGTCACTTGAGGCAAAGCATTTCACCTCTTAGAGCCAGTTTCCTTACAATCAGATGAGAATAATAATAACAATACCTTCCGTTTCTGGTTTTTGAAATGATTAAATAAAAAAGTGTTAGTAAAACACCTGGCTTTTGGTAAGTATTCAGTAAATGATAGCTATTATTCTTCTCATCTGCACACATTTTCGCTACATCTGTTAAACCAATCATTTCTGTGATAGTGTTTGATTTCTGAAATCTATCTCTCTTTTCCCACTGGACCGAGAGCCTCTTGGAGATAGGAGCTGTGCCCATGCATCTGAGATCTCTAAACACAGTGCCTCATACTCAGCAGATGTTGGAGAACGGAACTGAGAGGTTGCACTTGAGCAGTTTTTCCTCCTGTCAAACTGTATTCTATAATTCGCCTATGATTTACCTACTCAAATACAGTTTGTTCCCTGAGGCTCCTCAAGTTTTAGCTCCATGAGCTGTAAGGGGCACAGGTGAAGACAAAGTGAAAAGATGACAGTCCCAAAGGGCAAGTCGTGAGTGGCAGCTGCTTCAAATAACCTTCTCTTCTAGGATGTCCTTGGTGTTTTCATCATCACTAAGTTTGGAAAGTAGGAGATGAAATGGGAGGACAGCAGGCAGGATTTAGATGGAAAGCCAATCTCCATTTTAATTTTAAAATGCATTGAAACTTCTAGGACATAGCCAAGTTTGTAAAAGTAAGGAATTAATTTTGTCTCGTGAATCCAGACCTCAGGTAAGAACCACATTCAGTTATTTATAGTAACACATGACACTTTTGTATTTGCAGAGTGTTTCTGATTCTTTTTTTCCTTTTGAGCTCCCTTTATTAATTGCTATTGACTTTCATAGCAACATAAAACTTTTAGAGCTAGAAAAACTGCTCTTTAGTCCAACTGCTTCCCATTATAGGCAAAGTTTTCTGTCTCATTAGCAGCAGAGATGAAATTATCACCCAGGGCTTATAAAGCCAAGGGGAGACTAATTTTGTGTATAGCAACAAGATCTTTCTCTTTATATATACAGGGAACCTAGATTAAAAACCCATTGAAGTGTGTTTTTTAGTTGGTCTGGGGGCTGCTCTTGTACTTAGAACTCAGAAAAGCCTTCCAGAAGAATATGACCTTCCTTAGAAAGCCTGACCTCAGACAAGCATGCAACGCATCTGTTGGCTGATACTTTATCTTTTCAAGCTGCGTAGAGTGCACCTCGCTCCTCTGGTAGCACCTGAGTATAAGATAATGTAAGACAATAAGAAAGATCAGTGATGTACCTGGGACAGCCCACCACCCCTGAATTCCTCATCTTCTCTGAGTGACAGAAAAGTAGGCACTCATGGT